CCAATAATCATCTAAGGCCCTCGTAGAGGCTTTGATGTTCGAGCAACTTACAACCTCCTCAGGTCAACTGTTCCAACATGGAACTACGTGGCTTGTAAAGAACTTGGAACCTATGTCCAACCGTACAGGACTAAGTTGCGGCCTTAAACTATGTCTCCTAGGGATAAATTGGAATATATAATCCAACTTTAGTCCGGAGGGACCGTTTATAATCTTAAATACTTCTATACGGTCCTCACTGATTCTCCTTACCAACGAGAAAAGATTAAGGTCCTTGAGCCTCTGTTCATGACTCTTGCCTCTCTCCCTACCATCATCTTTGTAGCCATACGTTGCACTCTTTCTAGACATGCAATGTCTTCCCGAAAGTAGGATACCCATGCCTGAACACAATATTCTAAGTGTGGCCTAACTATCGCCTTTATATAGAGGGATGAGAACATCGGGTCTCTTACATGTAATTGTGGAGTGTAGCCGAAATAGTTCCCTACGAGCTATGTTGAGTGCCCTCTAACATATGCTGTGAGGGCTTGTAGTCAGGTCCTTAAGTTCTCTTTCTCCCTTGAGATCGATTCCATTCTGATTACCAAGTTCAACTTCTGCGGTGAGAAGCTGTTATTTAGATAGGTTAGGAGAAAAATCCCACTTTTCTGATCGCCTTATAACTGCTTGCAGATCTTGATATACATTCGTTCCCGCCACCTTAACTTCGTCCGCTAAAATGAAGCACGGACTGATGATTTCCCGTGGTAAGTCATAGAAACAGTAGTGGGCCTAACACTGAGCCCTGAAGGACACCGCTAGTCATGATTCCGATGAGTGGGTACCAACATTGATCTGGTAAGTACGTTTACTAGGAAGCAGTTTACATACTCTCTTAGTTTTCCTCCAATTCCCAGGAAATGCATTTTTTTATTTAGTCCCTGCTGACTTACGGAATCAAAATCGTTGCTAAAGTCCAGATAGCAGACCTCAACATGCTGACCTTCGTCTAAGCGTCACGTGATTTTATCGAGGAAGGCTAGCAGATTTGACTCGACTTCCGCTCAATAAAACTGTGCTGAGCTGGCGTTAGCAGCTCTGGCTTCACAAGGTACGCGGCCATATGCTCACGTACCATCCTTGCTAGGCATTTGCATTGGACCGATATCAAACTCACTGGCTTGTAGTTTTCGGCCTTTGCATAGACCAAACTTTACGCGTAGCAACTACGGTCGCTATTTCCAATCTTTCGACGTCGTGCTATTATCTAGAAGTGTTTAAAAGAAATTAGTCCGGCCTCACTCCCTTGAACATGTTCAGAGAGAGTATCTTGAGAAGGAACTCGTGTGGCGTCAGTTATTTCGATCAAGTGTGATGTCACGCTGAGATACTCGAACCTATCTGGTATTCCTAACAGTACCAGCTGCCGATCAACTCCCTTAACGAAAACCAGAACCATATTCGTTTTATCTTCCGCACTAAGGCAAGACGACCGTCAGTGCTTTCTACTGTTCCTATTCCCTCTTCTGATGCCTTTTTGGTTTGGGCGTAAGCACAGAACCTCGTCGGGCTCTGCTTTGCTTGTATCGCAATCACATGCTCATAGTGGTACCTAACCTTTCGCTGCATAACCTGCGCATGCCTTCTTGTTGCTTTGTAGCAACACGGTCTGGATTCATACGTTTGAAAAAATATATATGTAGCAACACCATGCTCAATACGTAAAGAGTCTTTTGTAAAAGTTCCTTTTCCGACACCGTGTGGCCAGTGCCCTGTCTAAACATGGTTTCCACCGTGGTGGCCGTTGTCTGAGTCGTG